TGCTCCTGGGGGCCTGGGCTGCTGCTGGGCGGCCTGGGCTGCTCCTGGGGGCCTGGGCTGCTCCTGGTGGGCGGTGCCTTTGTAACCAACCGGCCGGTTGCTCCCCCGCAGCAAGTCCAGGAGAAGTGGCACCTGGTGGAGGACCTGTCCCGGCTGCTGCCAGAACTGGGCCTCGGTGACTCGCCGGGGCCCCAATCGCCTCACTCTCCATCTTCGCGCCCGCGGTCCTTCTGCCCTGGATTCCCTTGCCCGGGCTCCCCGGGGACCAGGTCCCCCAAGGCCCTCAGGTCCCCCAGGCCCTCACCCTCCCACGCGGATCCCGCCTGTAGATTCCGCTTCCCCAGCAGCGCGGAGCTGTAGCACCGACCCTCACTCCGTCTGGAGCCTCCCCGGCCGCCCTGCAGCCCCACCGCCACCCCAGAGTCCCTCCTGCCCCACGCTCCTGCTCCCTGGTGACGCCCCAAAGCGGGGTTCACACACCCAGGGCAGCAGGAAGAAAACATGGAAACTTGTGTTTATAGTCTGTATTTTTTTTTATTTCTTTGTATAGGTATTTTTATCTTATTTCTTTAAATTTTGTATTTTGTTGATTGTATGATGACATAATATGTTAGTATAATAAGCCATGAATACAGTTTATAAATACACACCCATTGGGAGTGCTCAGAAGTCTTCTACCGCGGGAAGCACCATCGTAAAATCTGAGGCTCTCCGCCCGTGGGGAGGGTCAACCTGGCACAGTTGGAGCAAACCAGGGCACACGACGGCCCAGAGCCCCGACACCCGGTTCCTGAGCCAGACCCCACCGGCGAGGGGCCCAGCGGTCATTGCCCCCGACCCCAGGCTTCCAGGGCTTACCGCGTCGGAACAGGGTCTGAAGGCAGCCTCTCCCTCGCGGGTCTAACCCCTGCATTCTAAGTGGGCGACCCCCCTCAATGAAGGGAGTTCCTCAGGACCCTGCCTGCCATTGGCAGCACCTGGTCACCCACCCTCTCTGCGTCCCCCAGGGAGCCGACCTTCGGGAATGGTGGGGTGAAGAGGTCCCCCCAGGGCCCAGGCGTTGGGATCCGCCCGAGGCTGGGTTTGTGATTCCTGAGCCTGTCGAAGGTTCCTTTCCGAAGCCGGAGGCTGCAACAGCTCTAAATCCACGGCTCAGCCGCGAGAACACCCGAGGAGCTGGCCCACACAGCGACATGCGCTGGGCCCAGGCGCAGCCGGCAGCCCGGCCTCCAGCGGCCTAAAGCCCCGGTGACGGACCCTACCAGGGCCACTTACCCACAGGTGACAACGCCTGGTCCACGGACCCCCAGGAGGGAAGGCAGGAGAAACCCAGGACCTGCTTGCAAAGCCCCCACCTCCACCAGGGGCCCCGCCTGGCTGGGTTCCAGGCCTGGGGCAGCGTCTGGGCAGCTCTGACCGGGCGCCCTCAGGCCACAGGCTTCCTGCGGTCATTAAGGCGCGGCTGACTGGCTGCCCCTGTCCTCTCACTCACCCAGCGTTACAAGACCATCGGCTGTGGGCACGCGCTGGGCCCTTCCAGGCTGGCAGAG